CCTAGCGGCGAGGGAGGGGTGTGCCCTGCCCCGTCCATGTGCTGACTAGTTCACGAAGATGTCCGTGACACGCGCCACCTGTGCACCACTGCACCGTGCTTTGAGTGGCTCTGCAGTGCGCGCACCAGGCGTGGTGTGTGCTAGCAGGTCCCCGTGTGCCCACGCACAATGTGTGTGCCACGTGCCCGGCGTGTCTACATGCTTGGCTGCAGGGTGTGCCTGCACACTCCCCGTGTGTGGTTAGGGCTGTCTGGGTGCCCCTGGTCTGCTGGGGGCCCTCTGTCCTCAGCGCTGCCATCCCCTGCCGCACCCCAGGCTACCACACATACCGCAACTTCTTGAAGATTGAAGTCAGCCAGTCGCATCCGGCCATGACAGCCTTCTGCACCCTGCTCCTGCGAGCACGGAGCCCCCGGCCCTGGACCCTGCCAGTCCCCCAGGACAGCCTCAGGCCAGGGGAGGAAGAAGGTGTGCCCCCTTCTGGAGATGGGGGGAACCGAGCCTACCAGCTTCTCCCAGGAAGGAGGCATGCACCCCACCCAGAGTGAGCGCCAGGAACGTTCTCGCTGCCTCTCTGCCTTGGCGGCCTGTGGTCGCCCCTCCCAGTCCGGTCTCTGGGTAATGTTTTCCACGACAGGAGCACACCCCATATGTACACACAGAGCGAATGGCTGCCTTGCTGAGGGGCTCTGGCGTGCCCACCGCCACCCAGGCCAGCCCCGCAACCCTCACCTCTCCCTGCAGGGAGGAAGCTGCCCTCCTCTGCTGCCCGGGAAGTGTGTCGTCCCCCATAGACCTCATCACTCCCTCTCTGTCTGCCACCTGCAGGGTGACATGCCAAGCCTTTACAAGCAGCCTCTGTACCCCACAGAGGAGTCTCCCCACTTCCCACTCTGAGCTGCCACCTGGAACCCCAGGCTGGCCACCCTCACTATGCTCAGGAGTTTCAGGCGCTCTGCTCAGGGATGGTGGCTGGGGAGGCTTGGCTGGGCGTTTGTTGAGTGACCCACAAAAGGTCTTTTCCTCTCAGGGTTACAGCTGCTACAGCCAAAGGACCCCATAACCAAGGGAGCAGCACCCAGGGCCGGCTGCGGCAGGGCCCGCTGGGGCCTGGCCTACACGCTGCTGCGCAACCCAGCCCTGCAGGCCTTCCGGAAGACAGCCCAGCCAGGCGCCCGGGCCAACGGCACCCCGCCCTGAGGGCAGGGGACGCAGACCCACCTGCCCTTCTGTGCCGTGGCGCGTTCCTGCCCACCACCCCACTCCTGCCCTGGCTCTCCCAGCACCGCTGCAGCCCCAGCAGCCAGCCTGCCCTGCGCACAGCCCTGCCGCAGGTCCCCGGGGACCCCCGCGGTTGGGTGGACGTCTGTCTCCTCTGTGCACCTCAGGGGGCCTCTGCTCTGCCCCCGTGCCTGGAGCACCAGCCGGAGCCCTGGAGAAAGCGAAGGGTGCCTTGGACCCTTGGGGCAGGAGCCAGTGGAGCTGGGCAGCCACTTGCAGGCCCCTCCCCACCCTGGCTCTGCCGCCAGCCTTGCAGAGCCTCCCTGAAGCCTTCTCTGGATCGGACAGGGTAGGTGATGCAGGGCATAGCTGCCTTGCATTCCGGCTCAGCCCCACTCCAGCCTTGCCTTTGTGCCTCCAAGCCAGCCACGGCGCTTCCTCTCTCCCCAAGCTCCCTGTCTCCCTAGGGTGTGGCTGGAAGTCTCCGGGGCCTCTGGCCTGCAAGGCCGCCCAAGCCACGACTCAGGCCAGGCCCCATACCGAGCTGCCCACACTTGAGAGCCAGGTATTTTTGTAGTTTTTGTGCCTGTAGCTATTATGAAAAAGGTTAGTGTGCTCCTGTAATAAACTTGTTCCTGAGAAACGGTCCTCCTTCTAGGGGAGGGGTACGCAGGGCAACCCCGCCACACGCTCAGTAAGCCAAGACTGCAGTCGTGGGCCTGGGTAGTTTGGGGTATCAGGTCACATGTTGGGCTGGGCACGGGGTGGAGGGCAGAGAACCCACAGCTGCATCCCTCTGGGTGGAGAAGAGACTGAGGGTCCTTGGTGCCACCCTGAGCAGTGTGGATGTCACTTTGGAAGTAGGACTCATTCTGGGTCTCAAAGGATGGGCGGGATTTGGGGAGGTAGACAAGGGTGTGCCGTGCGGGGGACGGCGCGGGCTGCCCTAATGGGAGCAGACCAAGGGTGCGGAGGAGAAGAGGGAGCTGAGACAGATGGAGTCCCTCCCCTTGCTGGGGGCTTGGTAGACAGGGACGCGCTAGTGAGAAAGAGGCCCTAGGTGTGAGGTGCACTGATGGGCTGGGGCTACAGGGGGGGGAAGGTGTGGACACCCCACAGCGGAGGCAACAGGATCTTGAGAAACATCTGCACGATTAGTGGAGCCCAACAACCCCCTGCCCTACACC